CCTCTAGGGGATAGACGCAGACATCTGGGAATGCAGCCAACCTTCTCAGAGGCTTGTGGGGGAACGTTCTAATCTGGGGGGGTGGCAGGCCAATGCTTTTTAGGCAGGAAATCAATGTCTTCCACGCATGCTCATGTCCGTACACACCTATCCCAGTGCAAACACACACACATACACAGGAAGGGTGGGCCCACCTGCACCCTCCCACCCCACTTCTGGTACTGAAATCACCCAGAGGCCCTCCGGCCTCTTCCTGCATGGGTGGGTGACTGATCACCCACATCACGTAACTGCCATTCAGGGGTCCCACAGCTGACAGCCATCCCTGACCGGGGTCATCAGATGACACCAGGGAGGACCCTGGCTGCTACTGCCCGGCTTCTAAGACCGCAAGGTCCCCAGTGGATCCGCGGGACATCAGTGACCCGCACCTCTGGGGAGAGTGGTGGCTGTCCACCAGAGGGCCTCCCTGCTCACTGTGCCTAGGAGTCAGGGGGTCAGAAGCGACAGCTTACCCTCGCCGGCTGGTGCTGGCCCAGTCAAAGACCTTGTGCATGGCAGTCACGCCCTCCCGGCCCATGGGCGCCACGTCGCCGCCTGTCATGATGGCGTAGTCCATGCCCGAGTGCAGGGCCAATTTCTGTGTTGGGGGTGGGGTGGGGCAGGCACATGAGACACCATCTGCTCCAACAACGCTTCAAAAGACCCCCACCCTCGCCCGAGCTCGGAAACCACCTCCTGTCTGCTCTACCCCCGGAAGAGCAACACTGCTGCCACCCCGGGTCCCGGGCAGAGTTCCAGAACACAGCCGGTGGGCTTTGGTGGGCCCCTGGGGGACAAGCCCTGTCTTGGCGTGCACCTCACCTTGGCAAACAGCGTCTTGCCGGTGCCCGGGGGCCCGTACATCAGCACGTTCCTGTACAAGCTGCCGTTCTTCTTCGTGTTCCTGGTGGCTATGGCAATGTCCCGCACCCGCTCCTCCAGCTTGGGCTGCAGAGGAAGACAGGGACAGGAGAGCTGGGATGCTGACTGAGCTCGCGCGCTCTCTCTCACGCATCTCGACGAGATGAGCCTGCACTCTGCCACAGGGCCGGGTCAGGAGGAGGCTCCAGCACCCAACTCTACACCCTTCGGTCCAAAGGGGCCCCCACCCTGCAATCTAACACCCTACGGTCCAAAGGGGCCCCCACCCTGCAATCTAACACCCTATGGTCCAAAGGGGCCCCCCAGCC